CATCTTCAAATTCTGATTTTTTATCATTTAAAGACATTTTATTTTACCAAAAAAAAATATTTTTCTTTATTATATATTGATTTTAATTAATAATCGATGAATAAATTTTATTAAAATTTATAAATAAATAAATGATAAAATTCGTAAATAAATAAATGATAAAATTCATAATTAATAAAATGTAATGGAAAAATTATCTCCTTTATCTTTTTCATCAAAGTAATAATCCCAAACTAATTCAGTTACTATCTTACGATAAAATTTATCATCTTTGTAAATGAAATATTCACCAATATCAGTAATTTCAAAACATTCCCTTCCATTAAATTTAACCTTTTCAAGAGGATTTCCATTATATTCACATGTAAAATTATCTGGAATTTCTCTTAATTTTTCTTCTTTGAAATTAAAAATAATATATTCATGTCTTCCCTCATCCTCATTATTTGTACCACAATTACTGAAAGTGTAATCATCAGGCTCTATCTTTATGAATAGTTTTTCCTTGTAATAAATACTATAAGTATGTCTATCAATTAAAAACGCTTGTTTCTCCTTTCCAAAAGAAACTTTAATTTGTGATACGTTTTTAATATAATCACTTTCATATCTAAAATCATCAAGATTCAGAAATTTATCATTTTGTAAAAAGAAAAGATATTTGTAACGAGGATCAGATTCACATTTTTCAAATTTTAAATCGATTGATCTTGAATCAATATATTTATTTTCGGTCATTTTTTTTTTATTTTTTTTTTAATAATCTCAAAAAATTTTGTTTTATTTATAAGATAAAAATATTTAATAATGATAAAAATATAATTCGATAATAATATTTAATTAGATTAATCAAAAATACAAAACAAAAAAAAATAATTCTCTATGATAAATATCTAATTAATTTTATATTTTAAATACAAAAATAATTATCATATCATAATAATTTTATTTTAAAAAATATTTTAAAGTTGATTAAGAAATAAAAAATTTATAGCTATAAATAAATAATTTATAAATCAAATAAAAATATAAATATATTTCAATTAAATTTATATTTAATAAAAAAAATGGTGCCTATTATAATCATTGTAGTTTTAGTCGCATTAAATGTAATCGCTCTCGGTATTAAGATATCTCGAGATATTAAAAAATATAGACATGTGTAAATAAATAGATTAATTGAAATAATCAAAATCGAATAATTTACTCCTGATATTGCTATATATATTTTCTCTCTTGGAGCAATCAATACAAATATTATGAAAATGGTAGCTGCTAAAATTAAAAAAAGATACTAGAGTTTGGTGATAATATTCAATTTCTTTTGAATTTTCAACTCGTTTACCACAAGATGGAATCGGACATCGATCATCATCAATTTTCCAAATCTTGTAATAATGAAATTTATAACATGCATCACATGTAGTTTTTCCGACATCATTTTTATATTCATTCCTTATCTTGTATAATATCCCATCACCTTTTTCAAAATCGTTACAATAAACAATTCCGTCTCTTGTACTTTTTATCTTTCTATATATTTTTTTGCCATTTAAATTAAAATAAACTCTATTATTTTTCTTATGAAGATAGTTGTAATATTCTCTGGAATCTTTTGAATAAAAAACATCATTTTTCTTGAATTTCAGTCTCTTCTTTATTCTTTTTGCTTGAATAAAACTTATATCTTTATTCACGTAAGGTATCGCATTTTGTTCCTTTGGACTCAAATATGAGAATATCTTATTTATCACTGATAATTTATTTCGGAATGAAAAATTGATCTGGTATAATCTTTTACTAACTAATCCCAGATACAATCTATCATTGTAATTTAATAAACCGAATATCAATAAAATTATCTCAGTAGGTAATTGATTAATCATATTTTTTTTAAATTGTCATCAAATAAATTTTGAGTAGATTTATAATAAGAATTAATTAATAATTGTAAATTTTTATTAATGAAAATTACAAATATTGAAATAAAAATTATTCACTTCTATTTTCACAATTATGACATAAATTATGAGCATGTGAATCATTTAAAAACTCACAAGAATTACAACATAATATTATTCTTGATTTCTCGTTAAATGTAATTGTAATATCTTTTAAATTTTTGATTTTTTGTTTCAAGATTATTCTTGTAATACAACAAATATCGTCATTATTAATTATCGCTACATTTCTTTTGTATGAATCACAATTAATATAACAATCATAATTTTTAAAATATTTACGGTCTAGATTAGTAAATCTCTTACATCCGTCACAAATTCTTTTTTTACTATCACTCACAAATCGTTTATCATAGAAAAAATATGTGATATCCTCTTCATATATTCCAATACTTTTATTAACATCACCCACAATACAATACAAAAGATTGTCTGAATTTCTTTTATATTTAAATTTGTTTTTCTCGTCTAACCATACATATTCATCATCAACATTATGAATATGTATAATATAAAACATATTTACATATCTACTACTTTTATCTTCATTAGGATATACGTAACAATCATGGTGATATAAAATATGAATATTGGGATCGATTTTATTTATAGTTTTATCAGAAAAATATTGGTAATTGATATTATCATCAGGATATATAAATTTAAATATTTCCTTGAATCGTTTTGAAACAAGACGCATCTCAATCTCTTGTTTAAATTCTAAATAGTTGAAAATAGTAATAATTGTTTCATTCGCTAATTTATTCATTTTTTTTTATAATATAGAATTTTGATAAAATCTAATAAATTTATAATAAATAAATATTATTAATAGATGATAAAATCAATAATTTTGATAAATTATAAATAATCTTGCAAAATTTAAATTTCAATTAAAATAATATATAAAAAAAAATGCTTTAATACAACTTTAATTTCTATAAAATAGTAAATAAATCTTTTTTTTTTTCAATATTATTTTTATAAAACATGAGTATATTTGGTGGTGTTAATCTTAACTTTGATTTCTCAGGGTTTAACCCACTTGGAAATGTTAATCCATTCAATTCTTCTAAGGTAAATCAAATCGAATATTGTCAATTATTTCTTTTAATTATATAAATCAATAACTAATATTTAATAATAAATTAGTAAGTGTTAATTAATTTAATTATTGTCTAAAATAATAATTATAATAAATTTACGTTATATTTATTTTTAAGACGTATTGAAAGTAGATCTTTAAATACCGAATCAAAGAAAAAAAATAATTTTGTTTATATTTGCTATAATGTTGAATTGATATTATCAAACAAAACTAAAATTATATCAAAAAAACTTATTATCAATCCTTTATTCAATATTGCTAAAGATAAAAATTTAGATGAAAATAATAAAAAATCTCTTATCGAAGACAAATTTTCTTTTTTTGATTTGAGAAAAAAGAAAGATCAAAAATTAAATATGAAAATAGATAAATTAATAGATAAATTAGATAGTAAAATAGATATAGATAAAATATCAGCTGCAGTAGTATATGATTCAGAATAATATTATAAATAAATTATTTACTTATATAAATGAAATTCACTTTAATAAATTTAAAAAATCATTTTTTTTTAACTAAAGATCCTTTAAAAAAAAACTAAATATTTTTTAATAAAAATAAACTATATTTGAAATGGTTTTTAATAATTCACATAAAACATTTCTTATTGAAAAAAATATTAAAAAAAATAAAAACCTTCAAGAAGATCAATCTGATCCTGAAGATTATGCATATTTAACGGATATTATTGGATGTGTGGTTATAGACGAACCAACTAATAAAATAAATTGTTTAATATGTGATTATAAATATTCATCATTAAAAAATCAAGAAATTAAAAAACATCTTTCTACTAAACATTCTTATCTATGGAATGAATTAGAAAAAAGAAAAAATGAATTTTTAAAAATAGAATACACTGATAGAGCTCCACTTGAAAAACAATATTCAATTTATTTAAAAGAAAAAGATAAAAATTTTATTGATATACTCGTAAAAGAACACCTAATTTATTTTAAAAAAGATAATAATAAATTTGAAAAAAAATACTTGATCAATTCAAAAAAAAACGATAAAATCCATAATACAAATAGAAGAAAAAATATTAAAAATAATTATCATCTTGATAAATCAAATATAAATAATGTTATAGATAATAATAATAATAATCATATATATATTTGTGAAAATGTTAAATTAATAATAAAAAATAATATACAAATCACATCTAAAAAAATAGTTATTAAATAATATAATATACTTTACTATGTTTAATAAGAAAATTGATAAACTATATAAAATGTAAAAATTCGCTTATATGATAAAAATAAATAAATCAACAATTAAAAAAAAAATAAATAAATGGGTAATTCTGTTAGTTGTATCATTGAAATACATAATAAATTAGATCTGTATCTATTAAGACCATTTGATAATAAATTTAAATGGGGATATTTGAAATATAAAACTGAAGGAAATGATATAATATACCCAAAACAAACATCAATCAAAATTGTACAAGGCAGAGAAGATGGCATGTCTGGAATACAGGGTTATTTTATTTTCGATATTGTAGAACGAAGTAGTAATGATGAAATAGCTCAAATAAAATTGATTTTTGATATCCCATATGATACAAATGTATATTCAAGAGCTGCAAAATTTGAAATAAAAAAATATACTGATGATGATGTTTTCAAAATTGAAAAAACTGAAGAATGGGGTGGATACGGATATGGAGAAAACAAATGCAAATTTATTATAACCAAAAATACCGAAGCTACTGAAACTCCTATAATCAAATCAAAATCATTGAAAGCCCCTGTTAAAAATAAAAAAGATAAAAAAAGTAAATATTCAGTAAATAAAAAATCTGATTGGTCTATGATTTGGGATGAAAATTTATCTGATTGATTATAAATTGATTTTAAAAAATATATAAATAACTATTATATTATTTATTTCAATCTTTCTTACAAATTATTTTCTATTAAAAAAATGTCAAATCATAATTACAAATCTTCAAAAAATAGATCACAATCAAATAAAAATACTTTAACAAGTAAAATCAATCAAATTGATATTGATGATGTAATTAATAATAATACTTTAAATGCACATTTATCATTATTAAAAATATTCAAAACATTAAGACATAAAGATAATAATATCAATAGATTATTTTTAATAGAAGCTGAAAAAAGATACAATATATGGTTAAATTTATTAAATGATAAATTTGATAATGGTGATAATGAAGATATTCCTATTCCACCAATCGACGTATGTCAAATTTGGCACACACATTTACTCTCGCCTTTAAAATATTTTAAAGATATAAAAAAATTATACAAACAAGAATATAAATTTTCAATCGAAAGAATATATAAATGCTGGGATAAAAATAATGATGAATATTTTAAATCAGTTAAATTTTGGGAAAAATACACTAAACAACCGTGGATTCTAAATATTCAAGATGAATCACCATTTTCTTTGAATCTCGTAAATGCTGTAATTCGTCAATATAAATTTACGGATAAAATAATTAATGATTATGCTATCAAGGCATCTATGAATCATTCACAAGCAATCGAAAGATATAAAAAATTTCTTTTATTGATTAAAAATAATGAAAGAAATCTTGTCCCGACAATAGATATAGATCTTTGCTGGCATACACATATGCTTCACGCTATTGATTATCGTAATTTTACAAAAAAATATACGGGTGAAATTATTAATCATGACGATAAAATCTCTGAATCTATTCTCTCTGATAATTTTAAACAAACTTCTGATATTTGGTATAAAAATTTCAATGAATTGTATAGTGATGATAATCTAAATGATAACAAAAACATCAAGAACAAAAAAATTATATCTGTTAAATTTAGAGATTGCGGCATGACTGGTACAGGTTGGTGTCAAGGTGGTTCATGGTAATTCAAAATAAAAAAAAATTAAAAATATTAAATATAAATTGATATTTTTAACTTGAATAAATTTGTTTTTTTTTTAAAGAAATATTTTAATAAAATCTCAATTGTAACAATACTTTATTTATATTGTTATGAAAATCAAAAAAAAAAGCTAATATATTTAAATTATGAAAAACGATTATAAATTCTATTTATCAATTTATCAGCTTTATCATTCAATTCTTTTTC